GGGGAAACGGCGAGGCGTTGGACATCCTGTTCATCCTTTAACCCAACCTTAGAGGCGCAAAAAGAGTGAGCGGCACGTAAGAGTAGTTTAGAAAGGTTGCCTTTCCTGTATGATGTGTTGAAAGTAGGAAATTGAAAAGAAGAAATCAATGGATACAAATGAAATGACTAAATTCGAAATAGTTTCTTTCTTCTTAAACCTACGACAGAGGCGGTCAGCATAATTAGTAATGATCGCTTCAAAACCTTAATTCTAGTTAATCGTAAGTCAACCTGAAAAACAAATTGAGTCCACATTCAAAGGTTGCCATAATTATATCATTCTGTTACTTAAATTGAATATTCATGGCTTTACTTATTGTGTATCTTCATCGTTTCTGCTCAATACATTCCTGAACACTTCCCAAAAATTTACAAGATAATGACTTCTTATAGGTGAAAATCGATTCAATTTTAACTTCGCTAATGATTGTATGAATATGACTTTGGAAGAGAACGGTAGATTGTAAACAGGATCATCCTCTTCACGAGAAGTTAAAGAAACTAAATACTTGCAAATGTATGATTTACGGATCTCGATGTTTTGAATGGGTATCGAAATATACACACTGGTCATCCAGTTAGATCTCGTCCCATTTTCATGAAGAGGACTCGACTATTGGCCAATATAATGGGCATTCCTATACAACTTGTCACAACCATAACGCCACCGACTCAAGCTGACTAAAAAGAGCCTCTTATTGAACTGTATTTACAAAATACACTTATGGGTTGCCATACGGTCAGCTTTATAATCGAGAACGAATATTCGCTTTTGAATAAATTATTCGAATAATACGAGTAGTTCGGATGTTCGCTAGAATATTTGAAAAAAAGGCAGCACTAGTTTTTTTTTTTATAAATAGTCGAATGCTTAAAAGGAGTAATTCTTTGATTATAGAAATAGTTGAATGTTCCAAAACCTATATAATTGGCAGTCGTGTTTGAAAGCTTCAAAATTAGTGTTAACTAATATTCGCTCGTACTCCTGTAAATCATCAAATACTCATTTGTTCGAAAACCTGCAAAATTAACCAATACGGCCGTCATGATCAAGTGAAATTTTCGAATT